ACCTCTAACCCAAAGTTTTGTTGAACATTTTAAATCAAAATGTTCTTTAACTTGAGAGCCCAGAGGCAGTAAAGGCTTGACTTTTAATTTTAGTGTTGTTGTTTTTTTTAGATTTTATTTATTTATTTATTTGTGGCTGCATTGGGTCTTCGTTGCTGTGTGTGGGCTTTCTCTAGTTGCGGTGAGCAGGGGCTGCTCTTCGTTGTGGTGCATGGGCTCTAGGCATGCAGGCTTCAGTAGTTGTGGCTCGTGGGCTCAGTAGTTGTGGTGCATGGGCTTAGTTGCTCCACGGCATGTGGGCTCTTCCCGGACCAGGGCTTGGACCCGTATCCCCTGCATTGACAGGTGGATTCTTAACCACTGTGCCACCAGGGAAGCCCTAATTTTAGTGTTGAATTAGTAGGTGAACACACTACGTTGAACAGAATTTAGGACATAGAAAAGTTTAGATGAGCGGGAGTTAGTTCTAGTTCTCTAGCTAAGAGATTTAAGTTTTTTTAAGTGTCTTTAAAAAAATTCCTTTATAGGATATGCCTTTCACCTGCGAAGGTATCACCCCTGATATCATCATAAATCCCCATGCCATTCCCTCTCGTATGACTATTGGTCACTTGATTGAATGTCTTCAAGGGAAGGTAAGAGATTTTCTTTAAAAATATAGGTTCCAAATTGATGTTTCTTCCGAAATGTTAGGTCATTTCTTTCATTTGAGCCAGGGTACTTTGGAAAAAGCCAATTTGACACTTAACTTGCCTGCTTTTAAATTGGTTTGATTATGTCTCTCTTTTTTGCCAAACTTTGCAAAGTTATGACTGAGAAGTTTTGCAAAATTTACTACATCCAGTCTTTACTTGTATATATGGTTATTCTTTTGACTGGTTCTTTTCTATAAATGGTGGTTAGTTCAGTGTGAACCTAATGGTTTTATAGCTATACTATTAGCTATGCATGCATCTTTCAGTGGAGGCTTTTCTGTTTTTAAGTATCTTATTAAGGCAGAGTGGCTACAGCTTAACACATGGATGGCTTGGTTTTAGGGCATTAAAATGTCATTTTCCTTGAGTCATAGGAAGTACTTGGGAGTCTCATTCTTTTTGTATCTGGCCTCACAGAGAGTTTCCTACTTGAAGGGTTATAATTGAGTTGTTTTTATTTTTTAGGTAAATTAGTTTGTTATGTTTTATGTAAAATGCTAATAAAAGGAACCTTACTATATTACAGCTTTCCATAACATAGATATTTAAGTTAATCCTTAATCTTAAGTTCAAAATCTTCCTTTCCAGAAAGGATTTTTTTTTAAATATATTTGTATTGACATAGACTTCTAAAGGGTGACAGAAGGAAGCAGCCTTTTAGAGATGACTTTTCTTTTTAAAGGTATCAGCTAACAAGGGTGAAATTGGTGATGCCACTCCATTCAATGATGCTGTTAATGTACAGAAGATTTCTAATCTTTTATCTGATTATGGCTACCATCTCAGAGGAAATGAGGTATGTTTGCTCTTACATTGGTAATTTGTTATGAGTATTCTTTTTTGTATGTGTGTAATTTCATTTTTTAAAAAATTAAAATTTTCATTAAAGTATACCACATACTCAAATTATGTGCAAAACCATAAATTTACAGGTTGATGAATTTTCACAAAGTGAACACAGCTGTGTGACTGGTACCCAGATCTTGAAAATTACCAGAACGCTTTTATGCCTAGATGCCCCCCTTGTGTCCCCTTCCAGTCACTACCATCATACCCCCCGCCCCCTGCCCCGGTGACTACTCTCTTTACACTAGTTTTCTCTGTTTTGATTTTTATAGAAATGGAATTATATAGTATATGCACATATATTCTTTGAACTTGTTTAATACTTTTAAGTCTGTGCTTCAAAATCTCTGTTTCAGGTCCTATACAATGGATTCACTGGTCGAAAAATCACATCACAAATTTTTATTGGCCCCACTTACTACCAGCGTTTGAAACACATGGTGGATGACAAGATTCATTCTCGTGCTCGGGGACCTATTCAGATCCTTAATAGGCAGCCCATGGAGGGTAGATCTCGGTAAGAGAGCTGCATCATCATCATTGTTATATAAAGGAATGGTTCTCAAATTTCTTGATTCCAGGACCCCAGAGGCTTTTGTCTGGGAGTTGTATCTTTTTTTGTTGTTGCACTGGGTCTTAGTTGCAGTAGGCAGGCTCCTTAGTTTAAATATTTTCCAAGTAAATTTAGTGATGAGTGACATTGGTTTACCTTTTTGCAAATCTTTTTTAATGAAGTGGTTTGTGAGAAGACAGCTGGATTATTGTGTCTGCTTCTGCATTCATCCCATTGCAGGATTTTATTTTTTATAATTAAGTATTGCTATATGAGGAAAATCTGACCTCACACAGATTTGTGTTTGGAAAGGGAAGAATATTTTAATAATTTTCAGGTGATCGTGGATTTTTTTTTTTTATGCTACACCAAAACAAGTTGTCCTTTTTTTTTAAATAAATTTATTTTTGGCTGCGTTGGGTCTTTGTTGCTTCGTGCGGGCTTTCTCTAGTTGCTCCGAGCGGGGGCTACTCTTTGTTGTGGTGTGCAGGCTTCTCATTGCGGTGGCTTCTCTTTATTGTGTAGCACGGGCTCTAGGCAAGTGGGCTCAGTAGTTGTGGCGCACAGGTTTAGTTGGTCCGCGGCATGTGGGATCTTCTCAGACCAGGGCTCGAACTCGTGTCCCCTGCATTGGTAGGTGGATTCTTAAAGTCCAAGTTGTCCTTTCTTAAAGGTTACTTGTGATGTAGAATTTGAAACCACTTAAGTGAATCTTTTATGTTTATTATATTAAAATCCATTGGCCTTATACTTTGTATCTTTTATACTTATGTAATTTTATAGTATCATATTTGGTCATTTGGAAAATATTTTCACTCAGCAGTGAAAGCGCTGAGTCCTAACCACTGGACTGCCAAGGAATTCCCTCTCACAGTCTGAATTTTTGTTGACTGCATTCCTGGGCTCTGTGTTCCTATTTTTCTTGTAAATAGGTAATCAGATCTAGAGCCTTGATGAGGTGAAGGGTTTGTGTTCTTTCACAGTAATACTTCAAAGGCAGTGCTGTATACTTTTAGTATCTGGTTGTCTCTTTTATGACTTTAGCAGTTATTAATGATCATTATGTAAAACCTTTAATTATTGGGCTTCCCTGGTGGCGCAGTGGTTGAGAGTCCGCCTGCCGAGGCAGGGGACACGGGGTCGTGCCCTGGTCCGGAAAGATCCCACATGCCGTGGAGCGGCTGGGCCCGTGAGCCATGGCCGCTTGAGCCTGTGCGTCCGGAGCCTGTGCTCTGCAACGGGAGAGGCCACAACAGTGAGAGGCCCGCGTACGGCAAAAAAAAAAAAACAAAAAAAACCCCTTTAATTATTTAAAGGTTTGCAAACTGATGAGATTCTAATTTATCATTCCTTCATTTATTAGCTGGAATACTTTCATAGAGAGAAACTTTGTTTCCTCAGCTGCTAACCTGGTGACATGGTTCATATACTAAAAGGCAAAATAAATGCTTAATTCTTTCCTTTTATTTACCAATTTTCAAAATGATGCGGTGGTTGCCTAGCATCCTCTAAAGCTGACCAAATGTTTTGTTTTTGGTAATATCATTAGAAGCTCATTGATCTTGCGTATTTTGTATATTAAGAATGTTAAGGAAGCCATCACCATCCACTTGCCTGGCCATCAGAACAATGCATTTCACTTACATGCTGGGGGAAACCTGTGACTAGTCACCTGTTCTTTCCATCACTTTTGCCAACATACATTTATCATTTCAGGTTTGATTGCCAGGGAGTCTCATTCATGGAGAAGCTGCTTTATTTAGATTGACTTTTTTATTATTCACTTTTCAGTGAATTCTAGAGGTGAATTCTAGTAAGTTAAATAGTCTGATGAGATTTTATAAGTATATGCTATACTTGAGAATCTTATGTGTTTACTCTGGGGACCTTCTAATGCACACCAAATGGCTGGTAGACTTCTCAACCTCCCCACCATGTAGAGAGAATGCAAGAGTAGAAAAATCGGAGTCTGGTTTTCTTTCTTTCTAATATTCTTTATGATAATAGAAAATCAGAACAAAACAGTCTGTTGTTTTTTCCATGACAGTGATGGTGGCCTGCGTTTTGGAGAAATGGAACGAGATTGTCAGATTGCCCATGGAGCAGCGCAGTTTTTAAGGGAAAGACTGTTTGAGGCATCAGATCCATATCAGGTTCATGTTTGCAATCTTTGTGGAATAATGGCAATCGCTAACACCAGGACCCATACGTATGAATGCAGGGGCTGCCGAAATAAAACCCAGGTATGTACAGACCTTACTGACAGTTGATATCTATTCAGGATATAACCACGTTGGCCTAATCATCCAGGTAGATTTAGTGTGGTGGAACAGATTGGCATTTTCACAATTTTGAGAGCATGCTTCTATAAGATTCCTAGTTTTAAATGAGGAAAAAGGTAACAATTCTGTACTAGTTTAAGTTTTGTTTTAGTGTGGTAATTAAGCTAAGCTGTTCATCTTCTGGAAATAATAAGGCCTTGTACAAGGAATTTTAAACAATGAGTTTTGTTAAACCTTTTGAGAAGGGTGAATATAAATTATATCTGGCAGAAAGGGCAGAATACCAAAGCCTTTTAGGAGAAGAGCCACCAAAGGCCAAGGTAGGATGAGAGTTATCAACCTCATCTGTTCATCACCTCCAGTACCAAGTCTTTTAGCTTTTTCTGGGGTAGGGAAGTGGGATCCCTTCAATACAGCTTTGCTAATTACCTTTTTTTTCTCTCCCCCAGATCTCTTTGGTGCGAATGCCTTATGCATGCAAACTGTTGTTTCAGGAACTCATGTCTATGAGTATTGCACCTCGAATGATGAGTGTTTAGCTCTTTTAAAAAATCTTTGTGTCTTGTTTCTATGATACAGCTTTTAAAAAATTTTTAAAACAACAAAAAAATGTACTTGCACTAGGAGAAAAGGCATTTTATTTGTTTTGTTTAATGATATGCATGCTTCTGTAAATAGACAAATTTTTGTAGACAGTCTTGATGTGTTATCTTTATTTTGTATTTCATGGGGTAAAACCAGTGAATATATATAACTAAAGTGTTAGTGGACTGGATGAAAAGAAACTGGTTATTAGGCAAGAACAGGGGTTGTAGTTACCCATGACTACTTTTAGCTATGCAGATTAATATATTCTGCAGGTTTACAGCTCAGCACCTTCACCTGTTTAAAAAGAAAAGATAAAAATTAGTTACATATACGGACATGGTTGACTTTCTAATTTTGAGGTAGTTTAGTGTTTCCAAATAAATGAAGATGTTAAAATGTGGGGATAAAGGATGTGTGAGTAACTATAAATGATATGGTGGGAGTGCTTTTTGGAATTGGAGCCATATGATTTTAGATGTGGAAGGTGATTGTGTTGTACTTGTCTATCTGTAAGTGACAGACCTTACTATAGAACTGGGAGAAGCATGTTTCACAGATGAGCAAGGTGAGATCCAGAGAGGCCAAGGAACTTTCCTTTGTTATCCAGTTCTCATTCAGAATTTAAAATGGAATAATTAGTGGCAGAGCTGAGACTCAAACACATGACTCTTAGCTACTGCTCTGTTTCATCACTTGACTTTACACATCTTGGCTGAAGAGAATCTGACCAAACACATCTTTACTTGATATTTCTTCCTTTCGTACCGCAGCTGAGTGATCCACACAGTGGAATGGTTTTGACAAATGCTGACAGTAAATTTCGTTATTTTTGGCTTAAGGCAAAACCAAGGCAGACATCAGTCTAATAGAACTATATAAATGTAAAGTAGCATTACTCTCATACCGCCAGGATGGATGCTTAAGAGGAAGCTTTTGACAGTGAAGTGGATAGAGGCAGAACAGAATTGAGTACTTGCCCATATACTCTTTCTGGTTTTTTCTTATAAAAGCGCAAAGTGAAGGACCAGAATTGTCTACAATCATTTCCTTTTAAATGGGAATTTAATATAATAGTCACAACACCAAGGAAAATGCTGTGAAGATAGATAGAAAGTTATGGGAAATACAAACCATTCCAAACAGGTTTGACTCTTATGTGTAAGATAAAAGCATCTGAGTCATAATTAATAATAGCATTCCATCAACCACTGAATGTTCTTTTGGAGCCATGCACTCTACATTTTGATAACATACTTAATGTCCTTCCCTTGTGGATTCCTAACATCACAGAATTTCATTAAGAGCTATGTCTGATACTTTTAAACAAAAGCACTAGTCATTTTTAAATGGTCATGAGATTTATTACCTACCTTTTTTCACTGGTATTTCATGTAAGGCATCAACCACTGTAATTTTTGCTGATGCCGAAGCCTGTCCTTGGGAATTGGATGCATGGCACTCATATTCTCCAGCATCTTCCTTACTAAGAGGAGATACCTGTGAAAGAAAAAGGATCTTTAGTTTCTCTATGGCAGTGAACTTTTTTCTTGTGACTTCAATTAGGTCATTATTTCATAAGTTTCCTAACATGACCAGGGGTTTCATAGCAAAGTATTTCTACTGCTAGAAACAGTGCAAGTCTTGTGTTAGGAGTAATTATATAGCTATCGTATTTGGTCTGCCAGGAGGATTCCTACTGGAGGTAGGAATTCCTACTGGAGGTAAAGTTGTCATGGACAACTTTAGGTCACATTGCATAGGTTAAAAACAGGATAGGTGCACATATCCTCATTTGAGGGAGACCTTGGTGTAGGGTATGTGACCTAAGTACTATCCATGTGTGTCCATGGCTATCAGAGGTCAAGTAAAATAATCAATAATTGATTAAAATAATGCTTGGGTCATTAGTTCCTTTGAGGATTTTGCTTTGAACTCTCAGGGGGAAAAAAAGTTGGTTCTCACTTATTTTTTGGTGATTTCCAAAACATCCTAATAAACCCCAGCTGTTTTGTTTGTTTGTTTGTTTCCTTTGAAAGAGAAACAGCAGCTCATGGTAAGGCTGTTCTAAAGAGATGTGGAAGGGCAGACGAATACTTTGAGCATGGCAGTACATCAGGCACCTTTGGTTTGCTCTGTCTATTCCTAAGAGTGAAATCCTTGCTAGCTCTTGGTACTCACCAGCACCCAGCCAGTTACTTCATGCTTTTCTGGGCCACCCCGGGTCTGAATGGCCAGGTTGTCTCGGTCGCCAGGCAAGAGTTCTGTTCTTTGAACTCCATAGTGACCCCTTTTAACCTGCAAAAATATAGTCTGAGTTCTCTGCACCGAATCATCAGCTTGGAAGTGGTCAACATTCCTAGAATTGCACAGGGTATGCATCAGACTTTCTAACTGGATTAAACCCAGCAATTTCCATTTTACCCTTTCCTGAATACTTATGTAAAATATACATTCTTTTTTTTACTTCTTCCTGTCAGTTTCCCTCTAAGCGTGTATATTTTGAATTAATGTATTTTTCTGCATGTTTGGGGAATACAGACTGTCACACTTTCCTGCCACTGGCTACCATCAGTAACGCATGCCCTTGTAACTTCTGCTTCTCAGTGTTGGGTCTTGTTTGCCATATGCCATTTTGTCACCGAGTCCTAGGTTTGATACTTGGGACCTTGTGTAAGAGCTCAACTCTTGGGACTCTTCCTGCAACAGCCTCATCAATGGAAAATAACAGGTTAAGTCCAAAGCCAATACCATTACTTTATTCTGAGGGCTAAGGGTTCATCACATGATGTACTAAAGACCTGAGAACAAAAATGCCTGTCAAGTACGAGCTGCTGCTGTTGTTCTCTTATGACAAAACTTGCTATTCCTGTGCATGTCATGATGAGATTCAGAAAGATGAAGAAAGAAGAAACTGGGTTTCCTTGGCTTGAGGCCACTAGAGAATACTGTCCTACTTCCCCCGTCATTTAAACAGGTAAACTGTGTTCATTATGTAAACTTTGGAAAATGTATAAAAATTCACAGAAGAATAAAATTTACTTGTAACCCCTCCATACATATATACATTTAGCATAAATTTCTAGAAGTGGAATTGCTGAGTCACAGTATAAATATTTTAAGGCTTGTGATAATGATGGGTTTAAAAATATATATCAAAGAATACATGAAGCAATGTTTGTTTATTCCATCCCAGCCTTCAAGAGTTAGGTTGATGTTTATTGATATTACCTTTGTAATTAGAAAAAAGGATTTTACAGTCTCAAATAGGTAGTTTTCATTTTCTTTTATAATTAAGCAAATCTTGAGTTAGATCATAGTATCTAATTTTTTTTTTTGACACTTTACATCAGAGTTGCTTCTCCTACTTGTGAGCCCACTGCCACCACATGCTGTTACTAAGCTGTTGTCTCAGCATCAAACCCACCCTTTATTTTTTCTGCTTCATGACACCAGGATTGGCACTCCGCAAACCATGTGGAATCTAGGCCAACTCTTACTCTATAAAAAATACCTAGCATTACTGATTTGGAATGCCTGGTTTTCGCCTGTTTTCTTTTTTTCCCTGAGATTTCCCCATATTGCCACTATTAGTGAGAGAAAACCAGGTATCTGTGTTTTTCTCATATGAATGTTAGAAAGACAAAACAGATAAACTCAGTAGGCACCTTTTTCCTTCAGTTTCCAAATTCCAAGCTGGAAGAAATGGTTTATACTAGTGCAGATCTTGAAACATTTATTTAAAAACGGTTTTAAATAATGGTTTTGGTATTTCTCTCTTTTTTTAAAATAATGGTTTTAAGTATTAATTTGATTCAGTGGCTAAAGTAATATACCTCTGGTCTTTATATATTGAATTTCAGAATTCTTTAAGGGTTTTGTATGTGACCAAAGCAGAAAAACACTACCGCGTTGAAATAGTGAATCTTAGCAACTGAGCTGTTGCTCCTCAGCTCATGTAGCTCTCAGTAAAGAGCATTTTGTACCAATTAACCTGACCCACTGTGTGCCAAGAAACTGTTCTTGTTAAGTATTTGATTGGAAAATGAATGCTTATATTCAACAGAACTCATATTTTAATTAACATATTGTAAAAAGTTTTATATCATGTAGAAAACATACAGAAAGAACTGCAAAGAATTTTTGTGTGGCAAATTTTTATATGGCAAACTACTGCCTTACTTATGTAAGGGGAGTTGGTTGATAAATACATTTTTGGTTTGAGAAAAAAAGATGCAGGCTGAGCTGAGAAAAGTGATTTCTAATACAATTCTGCAGATGTGCAATGGGCTGGAAGTTTGTAGGGTGGAAAAAACTGCCTAGAAGTCACTGCTCACCATAGAGCCTCAACTAGGTGAAGAATCAGAGGGAGACCCAGGAAGTCATCTCAGCCCTCTGTGGTTGTGTTTTAGTTGCAACAAGCAATAACTAAGAAAAAGGTGCCAATGACTACAGAAACAGGATGCATTAGTCTGATTGCTACAGGTTGATAAACCTCAAGCATTCATTGAATTGCAGGGATCATTTATGCAGCTTAGAACATAATTTGCTGTGCCTTTTTGGTGAAGTTTCAGAATTCTATGATGAAATAGAATACACAACTATTAAAATTTTAAGCTCCTCAGCCACTGTAAACAAATAAAAGAATGGTTGGCTAGGAAGAAGTATTTGTAATACATGATAAAGGGTCAGTATCTCTAATGTACAAAAAGCCACAAACTGAGAATAACAAGAATCAATAGAAAAATGACTAAGGCTATGAACAGGTAATTCATATAAAAGAGAATTCAAATATAAAAATATTCTCAATGTAGTCAAGGAAATTAAAGCATTAATGAGATGATACTTCTACCCATCATTAACAAAAACTAAAAAGAGTGGTAATATTCAGTGCTGGTGAGGATGCAGGGAAATGACATCCAAACATTGCTGGGAAGAGTGTGAACTGCTACAATCCATTTAGAAAATGATCTGACACCACAGCAATCAGACAAGAAAAAGAAAGAAAAGGTATCCAAATTGAAAGGGAAGAGGTAAAACTGTCATTATTCTCAGATGACATGATTCTGTATATAGAAAACCCTAACTGTCCACACAAAAACTACTAGAACTGATAAACGAATTCAGCAAGACAGCAGGGTACAAGAATACCATACAGAAGTCCGTTGCGTTTCTTTACACTAACAAGTATAAGAAAGGGAATGTAAAAAAACAATACCTTTCAAAATTGCATGCCCCAAAATAAAATATTTAGACATAAACCTGACCAGGAAGGTGGAAGACATATGCTGAGAACTATAAACCATTAATAAAGGAAACTGAAGATGATTCAAAGAAATGGAAAGATATCCCATGCTCTTGGATTGGAAGAATACTGTTAAAATGGCCATATGACCCAAAGCAATCTGCAGATTTAATGGGATCCCTATCAAATTACCCATGACATTTTTCACAGAACTAGAAAAAATAATCCTCAGGTCTATATGGAACCATAAAAGACCCAGAATTGCCAAAGCAATCCTGAAGAAAAAGAACAAAACAGGAGGCATAACCCTCCCAGACTTCAGACAATACTGCAAAGCTATAGTAATCAAAACAGCATGGTACTGGCATGAAAAGAGACATATGGATCAGTAGAACAGAATAGAGAGCCCAGAAATAGACCCAAACACCTATGGTCAATTTTCAACAAAGGCAAGAACATACAATGGAAAAAAGACAGTCTCTTCAGCAAGTGGTGTTGGGAAAATTGGACAGCCGCATGTAAATCAATGAAGTTAGAACACACCATCTCACCATACACGAAAATAAACTCAAAATGGCTTAAAGACTTAAGCATAAAACAAACCATAAAACTCCTAGAAGAGATCGTAGGCAAAACATTCTGACATAAATCATACCAATGTTTTCTTAGGTCAGTCTCCCAAGGCAATAGAAATAAAAATAAACAAATGGGACCTAATCAAACTTACAAGCTTTTGCACAGCAAGGGAAACTATAAAAAACCTGAAAAGACACCCTACAGAATGGGAGAAAATATTTGCAAACAATGTGACCCACAAGGGCTTAATTTCCAAAATATACAAACAGCTCATACAACCCAACAACAAAAAAAAACGACTCAATCGAAAAATGGTCAGAAGTCCTAAATAAATATTTCTCCGAAGAAGAAATACAAATGACCAATAAGCACATGAAAAGATGCTCAACGTTGCTACTTATCAGAGAAATGCAAATCAAAACTACAATGAGGTACCACCTCACACCAGTCAGAAATGGCCATCATTAAAAAGTCTACAAATAACATGTTGGAGAGGGTGTGGAGAAAAGGGAACCCTCCTACACTGTTGGTGGGAATGTAAATTGATACAGCCACTATGGAAAACAGTATGGAGGTTCCTTAAAAAACTAAAAATAGAATTACCATATGAACCAGCAGTCCCACTACTGGGCATATAGCCAGAGAAAACTGTAATTCAAAGATATGTGCACCCCTGTGTTCATAGCAGCACTATTCACAATAGTCAAGACATGGAAACAACCTAAATGTCCATCAACAGATGAATGGATAAAGTAGATCTGGTTCATATATATAGTGGAATACTACTCAGCCATAAAAAGAACAAAACTGCAATTTGCAGCAACACAGATGGATCTAGAGATTATCATACTAAGTGAAGTGAAGTAAGTCAGAAAGAGAAAAGACAAATACCGTATAATATCACTTATATGTGGAATCTAAAATATGATACAAATGACCCTATCTACAAAACAGGAACAGACTCATGGACATAGAAGACAGACTTGTGGTTGCCAAGGGGGAGGGGGTTGGTGGAGGGATGGAGTGGGAGGTTGGGATTACCAGATGTAGGCTATACTCAGATATATAACTGAATCACTTTGCTGCACAGCAGAAATTAATACATTATAAATCAACTATAGTTCAATTAAAAAAGAAAAGAAACCAGACAGAATTCCTTGAAAACAGGAACAAATGAGATTAGCAGAGTGCATAACACACTGTAGATAAGAAATAAATGGTTACTGTATTGAGGGTACTAAGGAGTGCTCTAAGAGGTACACTGCCTCCAACTTGTCAGATTTTTTAACATTTTCATAATTATTAAATGAGGTGGTAAAGAATTTCTTTAAAAAAGATCTGACAATGTCTATCAAGACTAAAATTAAATCTTTTGACTTAGTCATGTATCTTTTGGGGGAATCTATCCTATAGGGGAAAAAAAAGGTGGTTGCATGTAGGATATGTATACTGAGATATTTAAGGCAGCATTATCTAAGGTGATGAAAAGATGGAAACACAGAAACTGTGTTAATTATGGTATATCCACACTTGGAATATTATGTAGTTCTTGAGAAACAGACCTGGAGGGATGCCCATGAAATATTTCTTGAGAAAAGCAATTTCAGAGTAATTGCACACTACATCCCCACCTCACCCCGCACACTGGGAATATGTGTTTGTATACATTTGGGCATGAATGAGGATATAGAAAGATAAAAACCTGGGAAGTTCACATTGGTTATTTCAAGGAGTGGAAGGAGGTGGGAGGATATTATGAACTCTTTCTTTATACATCTTTGGATAGTTTCTCCTTTTTACCACAATCACACACACACACACACATATATACATACATACATTTATTTATTTATTTATTTACTAAAAAAAGAATATTCTTAGAGGTCATGAAAGCCCTAATCTGAAGAAATGTTCAGGTAGGAAAAGAATAGAAAGCCTCAATCTCAGAAACATCTAAATGTTTGGAAGGAATTCTGGTGTTTCACCTTCCCTGTAAGCATCCCTCTGACTTACCAGGGTTAAGGTAAATTCAGCTATTTCAGTTCATTTCCCCATTTCAAAATATTTCCCTTGGAATCTTTATAGGCTAGGGGTTTTCTGAAAATAAACTATGGGACTTGTTAAGGTCACATGATAAGTCCTGGTCAGGATAGCACAGAACACTCACTAGGCTGGGCCTGCCATAGAACTGTCGCTGTAGCCTGAAGTGTCTCGGAGAGAAGGCTCATCCTGTCAGTTCTGCTGTTGCTAAGAACCCTTGAGTAAGGAAGACATGCTACCTTCTTTGAACCTTGGTTTAACAAGTCAGGATTCTAAGATTCATTTATGTCCAAAAAGCAGTTCTGTGCTTAAATTGGCTTTGACAGGTGATCTTAAATATAAATCTGCATTCTTAACAGTTTGGTTACAAGGAGAGTGGGGCAGAAAACAAATGGCCTGTTTTAATTCTTTAGGTCAGTGACTCTCAAAGTGCTTTGACATGGTCCATAGTAAGAAATATATTTTGCATTGCGATCTGGAATATACAAAGGAAAAGTTTTATGAAATACCTTTACTAGATGTACCTTTACCTAAGATATTTTATATTCTATTTTTTATTTTTTAAGAAAATTCTCGTGATCCCTACATTAAATTCAAGACTCACTGATGGGTCATGGTCTGCAGTTTGAAAAACACTGCTTTAGGTCATGCATGTGGCAAAGTACATTATGAAGGTGGAAGAAAATCAGCAGAGCCTGGCAGTTGGGTTTTTGTTTGTTTTGGCAAGTCTGTAGACATTTTTTTTTTTTCTGTTTCTCTCTCTCCACTCCCACTCCATCCATTCCCACCGCTCCCCCCCCGCCCAACTCCCCCAGTTGACAAGCCCTCAGGGAAACCCATGGAATCTGCCCCCATAGGATCCTAAAGTTTAAAGGAAAAGATTCCTGAGGCTAATTTATTCCCTGGTATGTGCGTACGTTAGCTGGAGGGATAGGCAGAGCAAGGACTGAAGAAATTACTCTCTGTCAAGATCGGTCATGAAGGTCACATGCCCTGGGACGCTTAGGTCACCCTGGCTTCTCATTGTGTATCCCTAGAGAACTGCACAGAGCTTTTTATGGATATCCTTTGGAAAAGTTGTTCCTCACCTCTCCACCCCCTGGATCAAACCAGCAACCTCCAAATAAGCAATGAGGAGCATAAGCAGCTTTTGCTGAAGGCCAGGAGGAACACATCCACTGGCTGCATTTTTGCTTTTCACTGCTCCTGCCTCCCCGTTAAAAAAAAATAGTTTACGGAGGTAAAATTTCATCCCTCCCTCTAACAGACGTTCTGGCTGTAAAGGGCAGTAATAGCACAGCTGGTGTCATCTCTGCCCACCCCCCAGCCACAGTGAGGTTCCAGAGTCCCCCTGACACCGCTCCTGCCAGACGGCCACATGAGGGACCCGGAGGTTAGCAGATGACCCAGCCTGGGTCACAGCCCTTCAGTGGGAATTCTACAAAGCAGCAGGAAGAGGAGGCGCTTTCTTTCCTCTGGGGTCTTGAAACATTATAATGTGACCTTGGAGCTGCCAGTGACACTATGGCCTATAGCATGGAGGAATCTTTCTGAAGTAGAAGGAAAAAAGGATACCCTTACATTGAAAGCAAAGAGGCAAGAGTTAGAGTTCTGACCCCACTGTGTACCTGGATCCAGCTGCCCTTGAGGCTAGAAACGCACCCCCCTCCCGCTTTTTTTTTTCTCTTTTGCCTAAACTAGTGTGAAGTGAGTTTCTGCAACTTGCAACAGAAAGAGTTCTGACAATGGGAGCCAAAATCCCTCCTGGAGTTCTAGAAGTTGCTCCCCTGGTCAGACACCAGCAAACAAGATAATCAGGAGAGACCATCATCCACCTTAGAGCTTGCTGGAGAAGAAAAGCAGCTGAAAAGGGGCTTCTTGTCATGCCTTTTAACTGAAACTAGATTTCCCTTTTGTTAGCATGAGTTTGATGATATTTACCCCACAGACTGTTGTGAGACTTAAGTCAAAAGGTATAAGGGCAATAATGTACAGTATGACTGTGAAGTATTACTTGATCTGGCAAACGAGTGTTTTCTCTTCCCTTCTACAGACACGCTAAGAATACGTTGTCTTTCAAATATAAAGATAGCTATACAAGATAACCACTCCTCAAAGGGAAACATGTTCAGGAACAAGAGCTAACATCTCCTGAGTGCTAATAACGTACCTGACAACGGGCCAAGTGATGTAGCTGGGTTACTTTATGTAATCTTTACAAGAATGCTATGCCATGTTCATGTGGAGGAAAAACTGAGACTTAGAGCATTGTTTTTCAATCTAGGGTGGCTTTTCCCCCAGGGAACATCTGATAATGTCTGCTGGCATTTTTAACCATCACAGTGGTGTGCGTATGTGCGCATACGCGCACCTGCTACTGGTATCAGGTGGATAACTGCAAAACTACTTACTGTGCACAGGGCAGCTGCCACAACAAAGAACCACCTGGATCAAAATGTCAGCAGTGCTGACGCTGAGAAATCCTGGCTCAGAGACAACCCAGCCAACCCGCCCAAGGAGCTCACGATCTTAACTTGTAACAATGTTACACTGCGACACACACACATACGCTCACACTCACATATGCACACACACACTCAGAGGGTGGGATGGGTGTTTAGCATCATAGTTCTTCCAGCTCCTAAGGCTCCCTGCTCAGGGACTGCTAACAAAAGCAGGGCAGGGACTATTCTGGAGGTCAGTAAAATTGTTTGATAGATCCAGGACAGGTGTCTGGAAGACTGTCAGAAGGCCTTGAGTTTAAGGAGCCACAGGCACTGGACTGGCTGAGGACTTCAGGCTATTACTACCCTGTGCAGCATAAGAGGAGCCGGTCAATCTAGGGTATCTTCTGAAATCTGGGCCACTGACCTTGTTCCAGATGAGGACAGGGGTTGGGATTCCGATGACCTCACAGCTCAAGTACACCTGGGCGCCAGTGACATTCCAGATATCCTTGGGGGGCGTCACGATGGAGGGACCTATAAGAGGGCACAAAGTCAAACCATCCTTTTAAGCAGTCTTTAACATCTGTCAGCGTGCTAGCAATCTGTAAGTATTACTAGGAAGTAAATACCTCATTATATTTAGGAGGCTATCCCCTCTGTTGATTACCTGAAGCCAATTTCAAAGACCAGACTAGCTTACCCCAGGCACCAGCGGGAGTTTAAGCTATTCTTTGGTGATGCATACATCTTGACAGTAAAAGACAATTAGCAAGAAAAACATATTGCTTACAAAATTTTCTTCTCCCATGAATCATGCTTAAATGAGTTTTAATTTACCAGCTGTTTTGCTTATCTGTGACTTTCCAATTAATATAGTGAAACTTTACTCCCAAAATAGTTAATGTTTCTCTTTTTTATATACCAGTATTTCTGTTTGTGGGGAAGGGGCAACAAACAACCACTCCTTGGTTAATGTGCTGGACACTCAGCACATCCACTGCTAATTCGCAGTGGCTGGTTTCAGGCACCAGGGGCCTTCAGAGAGTCCGCATTAGAGGGAAGGAGAGCCAGGAGCCTGGGGTGACAGCGCACTACTTCCAGAACCGAACCTGGCCTGAACCCAAAGCTCGATGCCATTTCTTCAAAGAATGAGTTAATTATTCCCTCTGAATTTCAGCTCTCCACTGCCTTGGGTCTTCCAGCTGAATAAAATATCTAACTTTAGGGTCATCTTGCATCACAGTCCTGGGAAAGGGACAACCTCCCCTTGGGGCCTGGAAAGTTTTCTGGCATAAGCAGCATTCAAAGGGCATGAAGTGTCCCCTTTTGCAACAGGCTATTTCCAGCCCACGATTAACTTCTTGAAACAGAAAGGAAATGATGACAGCACGTAAGATTTTTCCCACTCATCTAAAGTATTGGAAGCTGATTTTTTAAAAATCCCTCAGGGTAGTTTTTTTTTTTCCCTTTGTAAGAATGTACAAAACAAAGTTTTGAAAGCTCTAAATATATTTTGTGTTTCCCTCCCTCTAAACCCTAGGTCTGAAAGGAAGTTTCTATCTTGGCCAGGGGTCTTGGCTTTTCTGTGGCAAACATGGACGTGGTAAGCACAGCGGTGCTGTGTTTATGTGTGTTGCTGGCTCTGTCTCCTATGCTTCCTCGTCTGTCCTCACCAACACAAGGCCCCACAACGGGCAGGGCAGGGCAGGACAGGGCAGGGATGGGCCTCACTGCACCCCGGGCTTCCTCCAGGGCCCTGGGACCCCAAGAGCTTGGACACCACAGAACCGGATCTGGCTCACCTCTGAGGGCCCCGAGAGACTGTCCTCCTTCCCACACACGGACTTGGTGGGATGACCTCAAGGCTCGGGGGTTCTCAAGGGAGTGTTCTGAGAAGAATACACCAGTGTTCAGAGATTGGAGGGGCTCGGGAACAAAGCTGCCTCTCACGTAGCAAAACCACATGAGGAATGCAAGATTCCTGTGAGATCTGAGTGCCTCAGCCTTGTGACAAACCATTTATTTCAACTCGCAGCCATCTCTCTATAGGCAGAGCAGGGAGCAGAGTTATCCATCTTTGCCAGGGGCAGATTCTAGAGAGCACATGGAAGAACTCCAGCCTAATTTTCTGTCACATATCTTGAAGACATGCTATGGATTCCTCTGACAGCATAATTTTAAAACTAAGATATTCTTTTTTTTTTTTTTTTTTAATTTATTTAGCTGAGACGGGTCTTAGTTGCGGCACACGGGATCTTTTGTTGTGGCATATGGGCTTCTCTCTAGTTGTGGTGCACGGGCTCCAGAGCGTGCGGACTTAGTTGCCCCACGGCATGTGGGATCTTAGTTCCCCAGCCAGGGATCGAACTGGCGTCCCTTGCATTGGAAGATGGATTCTTAACCACTGGACCACCAAGGAAATCCCAAACTAAGATATTCTTTATTTTACTTATTTATTTATTTTTGGCCACACTGCGTGGCTTTCAGGATCTTCCCTGACCAGGGATTGAACCTGGGCCACCACAGTGAAAGCCTGGAATCCTAACCACTTGGCCACCAGGGAAGTCCAAAACTAAGATATTCATAGTTTTAATATAGTCTGATTTATCAAAATTTTCTTTTATGATTAGTGCTTTTTGTGTCCTGTTAAATTTTTTTTTGCATAGCCCATGGCCCTAAAGATCTCCTGTTTTCTTCTACAAGCTTTATGGTTTCACCTTTCACATTTAGGTTTGTGGTCCATCTTGAATTAATTTTTGTGCATGCTATGAAGTAGAAGTCAAAGTTCATCACTCTCTCCCCAAAGGACAACCAATTGTTTTGGCATCATTTGTTGAAAAGACCATCCTTTTCCTACTGAAAGTGGTGCCTTTGTGGTAGATCCATTGATCATATATGTGTGACTCTTCTTCTGGATTCGCTATTCTGTTCCATTGGTCTATGTGTCTATCCATGTACCAACAAACATGGTATGATTTAGAATTAAATGTAATAAAACTGAAGCACTGAATGGAGAACAGATCTGTTTTATCTCCCTGCAACCCTCTCCTTATTCCATGAAGCAGAACATTTCAGGAGGAGCAAAAATTCTTTGAAAAAATCTGAACCTACCCAGGAATACTCTGAGAGCCATCACCAGGGCATTCAAATTAGGACAAATCATGTTGTGAGTTCCTCTTTCTCTCTCCCAACTCTTGAAATACATATAAAACCTTGGGTGGATGGGCTGAGTCAATATTTGGACCATCCCGAGAACATAAATAATTCTGTCAATTCTGCTACCAGGCAATGCCTAGAATTCAACAAGAGTTGCATACCACAAAAATCTGTATTACTCACTGACTCCTGTTGAGTTGATGGGGTGGAGAGGCAAAGGGAAGGGCCATCAGGACCAGTTTTCTGAACAACATTTACAAAACCCCTTGGTACTTCAGATGTCCTTGAACAAATGTTGACCCACAGAGACACCAAGTGGACACGTTCTGTATGGAAGTGAAGGATGGGGAAAATATGTGGGGCTGATATGATGGCAGATGCAACAGCACTGCACCCCATGCCCACTCTAAAGAACTACCATCCCACATACTCCATTGACCAGCAATTTCACTGCCAAAATCCTCAAATTGCATGTGTACCATGCAATTCAATTCCTGAAGGTTCTGTTCTACCTCAGGAGAGCAGTTGACAAAATGACTCCTTACCAAAATAATTTCTAAATCTTTCCACGTTGCCTTTCTTCCAAGAAGGCCAAAGCAGATCCAGAATTATTTCTGTTTTTAAGGATAAAATAACTTTTTAGTTCATTCTGAGCTCATTTTTGGGCAGAAAGCTCAAAATCAGCCCTTGAGGCCAAGCCAAGGGTAACAACATTGCCATCTAAATCATGCACAGTGTTTGGATTCCACTTAAATCAAGTCAAAATATTTAAATGTATAGGGACAAACACCAGAATAGATTCAATTATTTATTTATCCTTGCCTTTGTTCCAGTAAGGACTTCAGGCTGCACAAACATCTGTCTAGCAGACATCCTGTACAGATTAACTGCCCACTGCCTCTCTCCTCTCCTTCCCCACTGTGGACAACTCCAGGCGGCAACCAAGCTGTCACAGTGATGCCTGGTGGCTGATGTGGGGAGAGTCCATCCCAAGACTTTCCCCACCTCCAACGGTGCACCCTATCTTTCTATTTCACATGAATGTCCCCAAACCAGGCTACTCCATGTTCCATTCTTACCTTTCTCAACTCAGTTCTCATTCAATTTCATTCGATCTTTCTCAGCTCTCTAAGTTTGTTTTCTTGCTCCCTTATTATTATTTTATTTATTTATTTATTTTTGCGGTACGCGGGCCTCTCACTGCTGTGGCCCCTCCCGTTGCGGAGCACAGGCTCTGGACGCGCAGGGTCGGCGGCCATGGCTCACGGGCCCAGCCGCTCCGCGGCATGTGGGATCCTCCCGGACCGGGGCACAAACCCGCGTCCCCTGCATCGGCAGGCGGACTCCCAACCACTGCGCCATCAGGGAAGCCCGCTCCCTTATAAGTCTTGCCTGGTAAACTTAGGTGGTCTCTTCCTTTTAATCAATCCTTGAAGAGAAAGAGGAAGAAAACGAAGGGAGGGATGGAGGAAGTAAAGGAGAAGGAGAAGAAAGAGAAAGTGAAATAAAGAGAACCAGGTCCTGAATGAAACTGTGTAAGGAAGAAGAAAGTTTTAAGTTTGGAAGAAAACTAAAATTCAATTTAAGGAACCAGTGTCACCTTAAAACTACCTGGAAGGAGTCAGATTCTCCTATGGAATGCCCACCTAAGTCTACATCCTCCCCCTCAGACACTCTTGATTAAATTCTAGACAAATGACCCACAGACCACAGACTGCTTATTCAATTATAACCTAAAATTAGCCATGGTCTGAAAAATCACTAAAGATATAGAAAAGGAAGAATTTTCAATGGATTTAAATTTGGAATATTTCAATTTGATTCTGAAGAGGTAAAGAAGGGCAGTTCTCACAAAACACACAAATGTCATGAGAAAAAGACCCTGAAATAGAATTAAATTTGAACTTGACAAGAAATTGATTCAAACTCATCTTACATAAAATTGTAGGAGAGGACAGAGTTAAAATTTGTTACCTATAAAAAGCATGGGAATAATATAAAAGAAATATGTGAACAATTTCCTAGTCTCTTAGCACAAAACACTCCCCAGACATGACCTGAGATGCCCTCACCATGTTACCATTAAAACAAACAAACAAAAATACCCAAAGCACTTTTGGGAAGAGAACACTTGGCTCTGGATCCTTGTCTATTGCTTATAGCCAAGAGACGTTGGACAAGTCACTTACCCATTTATACAGAAGAAACCAGGTCAGGTCTAAGAATTTTCTTTTTGGGTTGGAAGTGAATGTACCCATCATGAATGTGTCCTAGAGCACAGTCATATGGCATCTTTGACATCGATGAAGTTTTGAGGCTCCACTGCCTGGTTCTGGGAGCTCTCATTCCCTACAAATCAGTCCAATGCACCACCTCAT